TGTATTGCGTATTACTTATTGGCAGAAAGTTGTTGCGATGAATAACTGAAGGTGTAGGCCTTAACGGCAACTGTTGAACATCCAAATTGGTCGAAATGTATGTCCAAAATCAGATAACGAGGTCAATTAATTTCATACGTTTCAAATTGAATGATTTAAAAAGAACCTTGCTATTATCCGAACGTATTAAAACGTAGTATGCGTATATTACGACTCAGCTCGATGACTAAACGTGTACAAGCAGTCACCACCACCTACAACAGAACAGGACAATACCAGAAAGAGGAAATAGTAAGGAAATAAAACATGCCGTGCACTTGTTCACCTGGAAACATTACATTTTGAAATGCGTCTACATTTGTTTAAAATCAAAACGATTAAAGTGATTATGTCATTGTTACATCATGTTATTCAAATCAAATAAACCGATAATTATCATTAACGATTTCATTTTTTTCTGTTAATAAATGTCTCTTCTACTTGTTGTTTCATATCACATTCCGTGTGTGTATATGAGGTAGGTATGAACGACAGGTAATTTTAAATTCTTTAGTATATAGAACAATGCCAAATTGTATTACTACATCTGTCAAATATAATGTATATCATTACCGACCTAGTCACGTGTTCATCTATTCATGATGTGAGTACGGGATTATATAAACTTGTTATCCTTGGTTTGAAGGCGCCGCACAATCTTCTTCACCGGAGGACGAATACTCGAACGTAGCTCCAGTGACGGGGGTAAGTAAAAAAGTATCTAGGATATTTTCGTCATGTTCATAGTTTGTCACACAGTTAAACAAGATAATGATAAGAATTGTTTGCAATGAAAACTACATCTGAGTTAAGACATACGTTTTAATTTCATAAAATGATATAAGAAACTAACTTTTCACGTAAGAATTTTGTGATAATATCGACTGAAGACTAAAGAAATTGTGTCACAAGTTTCAAAATTGTAATCACTAAGCACACTAAAGGATGAAAAAGTTATCTTCGCTTCCATTCTTACAATGATTGACGCGAAAGTACTTCCTACCCAGTGTTGTAAAACATCGTCAGCCTTATACTCTGTTACTCTCGCTAGTTTCGTGAACATCAAGAAAGGATTGTACAAGAGACGAACATTTGAATTGAGACTAGGACTCAAATGTTTTTTTATGTATTTGTAATAATTATTTTGGAATCATTATCTGAAATGGTATATTATCATTTTTTACAAACAGTTTCAAAATAGAATAGCTATTGGGAAACTATGCTGGCGTTATTATACTTTTTTTCTAAATTTGTGGTGTTTCAATTTGTCCAGAATAACTCAGAATATTGAAAAGCTTTAAACGTGAATCGGGTTTTAAAATTGCTTGCTCCCGGATAAAGAAAATGCATTATAAAACTACTCAAAACAACGTAAGGGTTAAAATGTACCTTATAGAAAAACACGATATATATAATTTTCCCTATTAATTGGCACGCATGTATGTATAATACTTCCTAATTTGGAATGTGTTAGGAACTTAAAATACAAAGGGGGAAATGTAATTTTCAAGTATTTTACCAATTTCTCGATTTTATGTTTAATTCAAGGACGTTTGTCGACACGGAATTATGCGAAATACATTTACTATAGTTTACTCAAGGTACAATTTTTGTGAGTTGTTTACGTGTTTACTGATATTTACACATCGCCAACAACAAATACTTTGAGTGAATCATTTCAAAACCCGAGCCTAAGAAACGAGTATATATATATATATATATAGGAAATATCATTTCACGAAATATTCCAAAGGTCAAATAAACATACTCAAATATATAAAAAGGAAATTGAATTCAAACATCTTCATTAAAATCATAGCATTTATTGATTTTTCGCATTGGTTCACATCTCCATCTTGTTTTTGAAATGTATATCAACGACACTTTGATATCTATCGGTCGCCTCCAACATTTCGGTTAACTAGGTCCTTAGCATCACTGACGAGTCCATGGACAACAAAACAACTGAATAATTCAGTTTAACAAAATATTCGGCTCCACTATATCGAAAATTTTATCAAAATGTCTTATCCATTGTTTTTTTACAACCCTTTGAAATTGTCAATGTGATTACACCGTCGTGTAGTTGAAGACAGGTCAAGAAATCTGCAGTATCAAATTTTCTTAATTTTACAAATTGTTTCTATCTGTCATCTCACAACCTTTGACCTAGATAATGTTTTGATATTTGTTCTATCTTTGGTCCCATGGTAACACAAACTTCTTTCGAATTACTTACAATAAAATGAAGTTCAAGAAAACTGATAATAAGAAAATATCTAATTTGAAAAAGCCACAGCAAAACCTGCTTTATCATATGGACAAAAATATCATTACATTGAAACATCAAACAATTTTTTTGACATTTCTGTACACTCCCGCTGAAAATAATTCATTTTACATTTAACGAATGAAAACCAAGTAAATAATTCATTTGAATTTGAATTTTTTTAAAATTGTCACTAGACAGCGTGATCCAGAACCACAACTACAAATTCTACCAGCTTACTAACTACACATTCTACCAGCTTACTAACTACACATTCTACCCGCTCAATAACTACACATTCTGCCCGCTTACAAACTACACATTCTGCCCACTTACTTAAAACACAATCTACCCGCTTACAAACTACACATTCTACCCACTTACTAACTACACATTCTACCCACTAACCAACTACACATTCTACCCACTTATTAACTACACATTCTACCCGCTTACTAACTACACATTCTACCCACTTACCAACTACACATTCTACCCACTTACCAACTACACATTCTACCAGCTTACCAACTACACATTCTACCCGCTTACTAACTACACATTCTACCAGCTTACTAACTACACATTCTACCAGCTCACTAACTACACATTCTGCCCACTTACTTAAAACACATTCTACCCGCTTACCAACTACACATTCTACCCACTTACTAACTACACATTCTACCCGCTTACTAACTACACATTCTACCCGCTTACCAACTACACATTCTACCCACTAACTAACTACACATTCTACCAGCATACTAACTACACATTCTACCCACTTACCAACTACACATTCTACCCACTTACTAACTACACATTCTACCAGCTTACTAACTACACATTCTACCCACTTACCAACTACACATTCTACCCACTTACCAACTACACATTCTAACCACTTACTAACTACAAATTCTACCAGCTTACTAACTACACATTCTGCCCGCTTACAAACTACACATTCTACTCACTTACCAACTACACATTCTACCCACTTACTAACTACACATTCTACCAACTTACTAACTACACATTCTGCCCGCTTACCAACTACACATTCTACCCACTTACCAACTACACATTCTACCCACTTACTAACTACACATTCTACCAGCTTACTAACTACACATTATGCCCACTTACTTAAAACATATTCTACCCGCTTACTAACTACACTTTGTACCCGCTTTGTAACTACATATTCTACCCACTTTGTAACTACACATTCTGTCCGCTTACTAACCACACATTCTACACACTTACCAACTACACATTCTAACTGCTTACTAACTTCTTATTTTCCAAATTCCGAATAGGAAAACACATTCACGGTATATTTTCAATATAATAAATTACAAAAAGGCATAATATAGAGATTTGTAATCTATATGCAAGTATATGTTAAGATGACTGATGATTGCACGGTTATACTAAGATAGGATGATGTAATTAATATCCGGTTATATTTACAGAAGCAGTTGTGATAGACTCGTTAACATTTGCAGAGTCCATTGTTTTTATTATACAGAGATAATGTTAGCATCTTTCGCATTTCTTGTGATATTTGTTTATGATTTAGACCTCTATTAAACAGGCTTTTTTTTATGTTATCACTCCATGGAATAAAAATCGGCATCGTTTTGCAACGTCACGTTTGATTGGCTGATGTATTGGTGTAATAAATCATCAAAGTAAAAAGTCCCGTGTAAATGTCAATAATATTGCAATTTTAATTAAAATGTAAAGATTATCTTTAATAATTTCTATATTTATTGACCCATAAGAAAAAGTACTCTAAATAATCCGTCAAGTACATTAAAGCCTTTTTTATGGTTAAATAAAGTAAATAGTGAATAGAATTAATCCTTAAATGAATAAATAATTGACGCATGCGCGACTTATAATGTCACACACTGGTTTTCGTTTCAAAATGCCTTTATTTAAAACAATTTCGTTCAAATCAAAGTTTGAAAGAAATCGAACTTAATATAACGAAATCTGAAGAAAGGTAAACTTTTGAACAACATACCTCATTAATTATCTGCATTTTAGATACATAAATTATAAGGTTTCATTTTATTACTGTGGTATAGACATGCTTAAACGAAAGGCTGATCTGGGATTGTAGTTTGTGAGTCGGCAAACTAAATGTTTACGTTATTTTTGTGTCTTGAAGTATAGAACTGCATGGTAATGACGGTAGAAAACAGCAAATATAATGAAGTTGTGTGTGCTTTTTCATGTTATTTTGTTCAGTTATTCGGGAAAATTACAATTGAACCCTGGTAAATTTTACATGACCGGCTTTGCAAGTTTTTTCCCGAATTTACCAGCGTTAAATACAAATACAAAAATGTTTTTCATTACATGTATAAGTTTAATTAATTAGAACGTGAATTTTTTAAACTTTATGATAACAAGATTTTAAAATGGTATTTGAATGTATATTATTTTACTCTCTTTCGTATTAGATAATGACAAATTAAATTTTTTTTGTAAATACGTGACATCAAATATAATGAAAAAATTATATGATATATCAAAGGAAACATAGCTCTTCGAATCGTCATTTTGTAAGGAGAAGATAAAATAACTAAAAAACATTCCCAAAAGATCTTGACAGCTAAAAATCACGTTATTTTCAGATCTATTCGACTGAAGGACAAAACACCAGAGAGACAGAATGAAGTTTCATGTTTTCATCGCAATTTGTGCAGCAGTTTTCGCACAGCATGCTAATGGGCAGAATACAGATTTAATGAATACTTACACTCAACAGAATGTCGGCAAACAATCTGGTATACATGTTCAAAATGGTCTGAAATTCAACCCAAGCTTAAATCTAGCTGATATAGTCAATTCCTTAGACAACCAGTTACAAGGAACTGCGGGTAGCAGTATTGCGCAGATGGGACAAGAACTTTTAGATTTGGATGACGATTCTCTTTCTAAATTGCAAGCCGAATTAGATTTACTGGGAGATAATTCGCAAGAAGACGATGACAGTGTTGCTCACTTGGAAGCAGAATTAGCAGCATTGGGATCTGATGACAGTAGCGATGACGACGACAGTGTCGCGCACTTGGAAGCAGAATTAGCAGCATTGGAATCTGATAGTGGCGAAAGCGACGATGACAGTGACAGCCACAGTGTTGGGCATTGGAAAGGAAAATTCGGAACATCGGGAACTGATGAAAGTGACGACGACAGCGATGACAGTCTTGAAAAATTAGAAGCAGAATTAGCAGCATTGGAATCTGATAGTGGCGAAAGCGACGATGACAGTGACAGCCACAGTGTTGGACATTGGAAAGGAAAATTCGGAACATCGGGAACTGATGAAAGTGACGACGACAGCGATGACAGTCTTGAAAAATTAGAAGCAGAATTAGCAGCATTGGAATCTGACAGTGGCGAAAGCGACGATGACAGTGACAGTCACAGTGTTGGACATTGGAAAGGAAAATTCGGAACATCGGGAACTGATGAAAGTGACGACGACAGCGATGACAGTCTTGAAAAATTAGAAGCAGAATTAGCAGCATTGGAATCTGACAGTGGCGAAAGCGACGATGACAGTGACAGCCACAGTGTTGGACATTGGAAAGGAAAATTCGGAACATCGGGAACTGATGAAAGTGACGATGACAGCGATGACAGTCTTGAAAAATTAGAAGCAGAATTAGCAGCATTGGAATCTGATAGTGGCGAAAGCGACGATGACAGTGACAGCCACAGTGTTGGACATTGGAAAGGAAAATTCGGAACATCGGGAACTGATGAAAGTGACGACGACAGCGATGACAGTCTTGAAAAATTAGAAGCAGAATTAGCAGCATTGGAATCTGACAGTGGCGAAAGCGACGATGACAGTCACAGTCACAGTGTTGGACATTGGAAAGGAAAATTCGGAACATCGGGAACTGATGAAAGTGACGACGACAGTGATGACAGTCTTGAAAAATTAGAAGCAGAATTAGCAGCATTGGAATCTGATAGTGGCGAAAGCGACGATGACAGTGACGATGGCAAAGGGAGTGTTGCAGAAATTTCAAAACATTTAGTAGCAGCAAAAGCGGAATACAATGGGAACGACGACGACGACAGCCTTGAACTACTAGAAAAACAATTAGCAGCAATGGAAGCTGAAGGAAGTGACGACGGCAAGGACAGCATTGAACATCTGGAAGCTGATCTAGCACAAATACATTATAACGACGATGAGGAATCGACTGCAGATGCTGAAGACGACGATGATGGAGATGATGATTTTAGTTCCGCCGCTAAATCTGTTGCCTCTGCAGTCGACTCTAGCAATTCAGTCGGTATGTTACATTTGTTACGAGAAATAGAAGCAATCGAAAGAAGCTCTCAGAAAGTCGCCAGCGGTTCAAATAAACAAAACGTTTTGAAACATCTTGACCTCGGTCAAATTCATGGACAAGGGAAAGGAGCACAACAAATTAAAGCGAACTTGGTCACTGGTCAGCACACAAGTTACGGTGGCAATACAGGAGCACAAATCAGCCACGGACAAAACGTCATAAAACACGTGGTCACTGGTCAGCACACAAGTTACGATGGCAATACAGGGGCACAAATCAGCCACGGACAAAACGTTATAAAAAACGTGGCCACTGGTCAGCACACAAGTTACGATGGCAACGCAAAAGCACAGGACCAAAACATGCACCAATTGACCACCGTTACGACGAAAAAAAGCGCAGTTCACGCCACAAGCAATGACCATTTATTGGAACAGATATTGAAAAACTTCAACCTTAATCAATAATGGGTAAGTTACTTCTAAGTAAATTGTTCAATAATTTTGTTATTTTAAATATTATTATATGTCTAAGCATTTGTTTTGATAACATGACTATGTTAATGACCAAATCAATACACATATTTGCTAATGTACGACAAGTGATAGACGGATCAACATATACCCTTGTACGTATTTTTTGCATATTGACATCAATTTCATGAATCACCACCTATACAAATGTTGAGTTTATATAGGACCCGATGTTCTACATGTTGTTTTACCTGTATCTAACAGTCTTATAGACCTTTTCGGCAAATCAGCATAAACAGTTATTACATATTATACACGATACTAAATGATTAAAGTGATGCAGATATATGATGGAGGATGGACGATAGGACTTGCATTGACATTTGATCTAGACTTAGAAGCAGCAACTAGAAATTTTGCTAGGTTATTTTTTTCTTATTTTGAACAGAGAAAAGATAAAAGATTGAACGTAGATGGACTTACTCTAAAATATCTATCAATATATCGAGTTTATAGAACATTTTAAAAAAGAAAAATAAGTATAAAATGCAATTCATCTTCAACATCTCCCATTACCCTCTAACCGACCGACCGACCGATCAACCGACCCCACCAACCTACCGACCGACCTTTTTTCCTCCCTTCCTCCACCCTTCCTTCCTTCCTTCCTTCATTCCTTCCTTCCTTCCTTCCTTCCTTCCTCCCTCCCTCCCTCCGACCGACCGACTTTGATCCCTCCCACCCTCCAACCGACCGACCGACCGACCTTCCTTCCTTCCTTCTTTCTTTCCTTTCTCCCTCCCTCCAACCGATCTTCCTTCCTTCCTTCCTCTCTCCCTCAAACCGACCGATTCCACCGACTGACCTTCTTTCCTTCCTCCCTCCAACCGACCAACCGACCGACCGACCCTACCGCGGACCGACCTTCCTTCCTTCCTCCCTCCCTCCCTCCAACCGACCGACCGACCTTCCATCCTTTCTTCCTTCTTTCCTCCCTCCCTCCGACCTTCCTTCCTTCCTTCCTTTCTCAATCCCTCCCTACCTCCCTCTCTCCAACTGACCGACCGACATTTCTCCCCCTCCCTAAAACTAACTTCACCACCAACAAAACATCCAACATAACATTTCTTTGCTTTGCATTTTTTTTTAATCTCCACATTAACATTTGATATCTATGAAATATTTCCGTATTTTTCCTTATATTATGCCATGTTTGAATTTTCCATTTGATTTTTACTAAAGAAATTTAAATATCTGAATGGTTCACATTGTACCATATGATGTAAACACGTGTTATTATTGATACAATGTATATGGGTGCGTATCTTATGAAAAATATTGAAAGGTTGGATGACCTAGCATATTTCTTATATTCAAAGTGTCTTTTCCTTATAACATGATAACACAATTGGTTGTGGCACAGAACATGAAAATCTTATTAAGATTCAGATCAGTACAAAATATCTGTAAAACTAGACAGTACATGCAATTGGAAATTGACAATACTCTAGAGTAAACCTTCTTCTTGAAAAGTAGGGAAACAATACTACTTCGCATACTATTGAAATTAAAAAGATATGAAGCAGGAGTTTATTAAATGTTTGATTTTATCACGCTATTAATGTGTGAAATTAAATGTACAAAAAATCATGCTTTGAGTCACTGGATCCATTGTAACAAACTGGAATAGAGACCATGAAATAAAAATTGTCTAAACTGACGCTACAATACTATAACAAAAAAGACAATATTGACATGTTAATATTAGCCATATTGGAACAAAGTAACAATTCATACAGTGAGTTCAAACATAAATGTCTGATACATACATACTTAACACATACTGTGGACCTCCCAAGTAAGACAATCCTTTTACTTACATAAATTGAATTTTTTTTTTTTTTTTTTTTTGACGTTGCTTGAGAACAAATGAGCAAACAGTTTGAACAATCACTTGTCATTCCTAAACTAGCTATTAACATCTTCTTTACGTACGAGTACCTTGCACGGGACAATTTTAATCCATTCTCATAAGTAATAGTTTTTTATCGATGGCAGTAAGTTATAATTGACGTTTCAAAGTATTGCTATAAACTTACCACGTGCGATCTAAACCCAATTCTTAATGATCTGACAATGTGATGATCACTTTTATAAATCTCCATAAATTATCGGAAGATTTGCATTAACGTAGAACGACAAACAGAAAGGCTTGTGACTGATGTATGACAATGATCAGTGGTAAGGGGGCGAGAACGTGAACAGAGTGGTGAATATATTATCACGTGACCTCCAATTTTACGTTTTAATCGATTACCTCATGTCATTTTGTCAAAAAAATCTTTTCCACCAGGAAATGAAAACTGACATTGTCATGACTGATGATTAAGTGGAGTTCAAATGCCATACGAGTATCCATTAGCCCTGATCGGCAATAAAACATATCAGTGAATAATAAATACGATAAAATAGACTTAATTGGAGTTTTCCTCGTTGTATGTATAGTAAATGTTTATAAATCAGTTTTATGAACCCTTAGAAAATATCTCATTCTCCACGAAATTATTATCAGGGTTTTTTTATTCACAGTACATGAAGTTTTCATATGCATCAGAAAATAGTGATGCTGTAAGAAAGATGTTTGTAACAATATTCAGATCTCAGCGAGGAAATGAAATTAATAGATACTGTAACTGTACTGAATTTGGCGGAATCAATTTTTCACACATTCACACTTTTCTATAAATTAAGTGCAATGATGAAATCGTGCACCCACGATAATTATTGTACACGCAGCACGAGGAAACCACAATAAGCGCGAAAATCTCCATCATCAGAATGCCTCTAAAAATGTACGTTTGATTATCAGGTAACTAAACACGAAATGATATCAAAAAGTCTTGAATTAGGAACTAAAATGATTCGTTTGAAATGAATATTGTATGACAACGAGCAGAAGTTTTTAAAAGATTTTGTAAACAAAATTATTTATTATATTTTTTTCCAGATATATGACGTAAGAGCTGTTTCCTGTCGTCTGGTCCATGATGGTTACTTGTGTACCTGATCGTCTGCCGGACAGAGTGACTATCATCTGTATCGTGACTCAATCCTGAGTACAGCGGATGGTTTCGCGCAGCGTTTCGTTTGTGATGAAGATTTTTTTTTTCAAAATAACATTAAAAACAATATACATTGTAACTTACATAATGTACACAACAAATTATTTTTTATGTACATTACATCTTTTCCCTCCTCAAACATTATGATATTTATTTATAGGTTAAGTCGTCGATAGTGTAATCGATGTAGAGCATCACGTCACGTCAATCAATTTTAAAATATTCTGTTTACTCTTAATAAAGTATACAGTATGTTCATTGTCTTCTGTTTGTACGTTGCAGTGTTACATTAAAACATCGTTATACATATATATTGACGTCCTGGAGATAACTTTCGGTTTCAACGAAATTCTATGTATATTGTAACGTTATTTGTGGTCGATATTTTACATATTATAAATATGTAAACTATTAATAAGCTGACTGAAAATAAAGCAATTTTGACATCATTTTGGAAAATTTAATTTAATATTATTTGCTGCTTTGTCATTCCGAAATACCTAATTACTATTAACTCTATGAAGATTTCATTTGTATACAATGAAAAAAGGGAAAGAAGCCACAAAGATTATTAGAATTTTAATCTTGAAATGATGTCAAGAGATGTGAAACTCTAAAATAATGAAACGGGAACTTTTGATGTTTAAAGACAGTAAGTTTTAATTTCTGAAAAACTGAACATCATTTTTTTATTTATGCAACAGTTACACACAAAGTTACGACACCATGTAAATGACCTGCTCGCTGAAAATCACCGAAATATGACGCACTGTTAGCAATGAGAAAATAAGGAGAAGCAGTTAAGGTCTTTGGTCAAAATACCGCTCACTGACATTTTAAAAATTTAACAATATAACTTTTAATAACAATAGAAAGATAATATTCTGTAAAAGTGGACATTTTCGGTGTTTCAAATTTTCCTGGTTATATCAAAAGATTGAAATAAAGCAGAAAGCAGGCGATTTTTCACGGAAGTCCTAAAACGGAATATTATAAAACTTATTTTTCTTATTAATGCATAAAGTTTCATGTAGCAAAACATCAGTCCTTTTGAAATAACAACCTGTTTAAAATACAGCTTGTTTAGAAAGTGTGCTGATTTACAAAACTAGAGTTACTAATGTGGCATGATAGATGGCTAGAAATTAGAATTCTTTATCTCGTCTTTCGTGTTCATGACACCTCGTTAATTGATTGTGATCTGTTTGTACGATCGCTAATTAATAGTCAGGTCATCGATTAAGGATTGCTAATTACTAGTCAGACCAGCTACACAGGTGAGAAGGCATACCGGTGCGTGACCAGCAGCTGTCACAAGTCTAACATAATATATCACGGAAGGTGATGGAGTTAGTGGGTCCGGTGTATGTAGCTTTTCGTTGAGTGAGTTAAACTTCATATATTTTTTTCACATTCCTATTGGACTTAACATACACGGTGGGCGATCAGGGTGAGCGGTAAGTATACACTATTTTTTAAGATTTCAAATTTAGAAAAATGTTTGGTATCTTTTGTGAACTTTAGATTACAAAATCAATCAATAATTACAGGATTGATACTTTGATTGGTTTTACCTATTCTTCAGGAGTTAGAATCTGTGGACTATAAATACAAGGAGTACAGTTATATAGAAATAGTCTATCATAATTTAAACAATTCATAACATATATTAATCTAATATTTCTATAAATCTTCTTATAATCGTGATATAAGAATTTGAAAAAATCTAAATGTTAGAAGATCACATTTAATAAGATAATATTAGTTTAGAATATCAATGTTCCGAAATAAAGAAACTAAAACACGTATTTGATCCTTATATAAATTATATAACAAAATACCTGAAACAAATTATTTCAACTGACGTATTAC